TTACCAAAACTGTTTGATCTCAAGCATAACTGGGCCAAAAGAGAGAGAAATCAAACTTTAAAATCCAAAATAAGGAAAGATCTACAATAATTTTATCCAAAAGACAGGCAGCAACAAATGCCAGCAAGAATGTGGAGAAAAGGGAGCCCTTGTACACTGTTGGTGTAAATTAGTACAACCACTATACAGAATAATTTGGAGGTTCCTCAAAACATTAAAATAGAGCTACCATAATATCCAGAAATCCCCATGCTGGATATATACCTGGAAGAAAAGAAATCCGTATATTGAAGAGATATTGTCACTCCCATGTACACAATAGCCACTATTCACAAATGCCAAGATTTGGAAGCAACCTAAGTGTCCATCAACAGATGAATGGATAAAGAAAGTACTCCAATTATACACAATGGAGTACAATTCAGCCATGAAAAAAGTATGAGATCCTGTTATCTGTAAAAATATAGATGGAACTGGAGGTCATCATGTTAAGTGAAATAAGCCAGGCACAGAAACACAGACATTGTATGTTCTCACTTACTTGTGGAATCTACAAATCAAAACAATTGAGCTAATGTCTGGGCCTTAGTTAATTTTGTACCCTAAGTACTCGGAGCACAGCTTTTAAAATACGTGATGAATGCTTTAATACAGGAATGAACAGATGAGAGGCACAAGGTGGTTGGGTGTTCTTCTGATACACAGTAGCTTCCTTGACACATTCAGTACAACTCTCAACAGGTAAGTCTCTTCATGTTGTTACCTTATGAGGAATTAAGTGGCAGAACATGCCTTCTATTATTTTCCTTTGCAGAATAAGACCAATGTTGTGGGTTGGGACACAGTACTGGCTGCATTTGAGTCCCAAGTAACCATTAGTCTATTGCTATCACCACAGAGTCAGAGGGGATGACACATGGGGGCCCAGCAATCTCACCCAAGTCAACTCCACCAACATTCCTGGTTACCCACGGTATGTACCGTACCCTGCTAGGGACCAGGGTCATGACAGTAAATAATACCAGACTGTGCCCTTGAGGAGCTCACCTCTGCTGAGGGAAACAGGCACAGAAACCCACAATGGCGGCAGAGAGGAAAGAGGACAATGGGACTGTGTGAGGGGGATAGGAGGCACCCAGAGGAGAAAATGGTTACATCTGTGTGAGGAGGTTGGTAAGGAAAGATTTTAACAGAAGGGGTCTGTCTGGCTGGACATGGAAGGACATGTAGGAGTCATCTAGAGGGCACAGGTACACTCCAGGCAGAGGGAATTGCATGGGTAAAGATCTGGAGGTGTGGCTTGTGAGGATGGATTTCAATTATTCTGGAATGAGGGTGGCCATGGAGACAAGGGCAGGTGAGAGGAGAGTTAACAGATTTCATGCCAATGGCTCTGCTTGAGTTTCTGATAAGAACTCAGAACCCTTGGACTCCCCACTAACACTGATTAAGGTTTTTATGATTCCTCATAGAACATGAACTCAAAAGAGGTCAGCAAAGGGGTGTGTGTGATTCTTTGCTATTGGCTACAGCTGCAGCCCCGCCTCCTTCTCCAGCACATAAACATTTCAGCAGCTTGACTGCAGACTGCTGTGCAGGGCAGGGAAGCTCCAGGCAGACAGCCCAGCAAACAGCAGCACGCAGCTAAAAGGAAGACTCAGAGGAGACAGTTGAAGAAGGAAAGTGGTGATGGACCTCATCCCAAATTTGGCCATGGAAACCTGGCTTCTCCTGGCTATCAGCCTGGTGCTCCTCTATCTGTGAGTAACTGTCCAGGCTCCTCTCCTCTGTTTCCTTGGACTTGGGGTGCTAATCGGGCCCCTTTTCCCTTATCTGCTTAGAAGATCAAAAGAGATGTTCAAGGAGAAGTAGTACAATTGTTGGACGCTACAAACATAGAGAGGTTATTATTGATTTTATGCAGATCTATGAATGAATAAGTAAGCATTTCTCCCATCCACCCTCTAATTTTGGTGACTAGGAGGGTTTAGGGACAGCATTTGGTAGTGGGAATGATCGGATTAGCTTAGATTTCACGAAGACTAATCAATGAAAACATGGCAGAGGCAGATTACAAACTACTGATCACGACGGGCAGTGTGATCCTCATCCCCTTCCCAGGCTCTGGGGATTCTGGGGGCAGGAGGGAGTGGCTTGCGTTTTTGTCGCTTTATCTTTGTTTTCCGGGTTCTGTGTCTGCTGGAAGGGATGTGTAGATGTATTGTCCCCTGTGAACCCGGTGGTTCCTGCTTCCCTGCCTTCCACCCCAGGATATCATTTACATAATGCACCAGAGAACACCAATACTTCAGGGGAAGCTGTCCCTTGGCTCTTCCCTCTTTCCTGTGCCATGCCCCGGAAAATCCCCTCCCTCCTATGAGTCACTCCTCCACCCTGTCATACACAGAACTATTTATCTTGCAATGATTAATCTCTAGGGCAAAGGAGACTTGGAGGAAGTTCTGAAGATTTATTCTTTGCTTTAATCTTTTTCCTCTGGTTTCTGGGAGGCTAGGATTAATATACAGCTTTGTTTCTCACCTAATGGGAATCTGCTAGCAGCCTGAAAAGGCAGGAGCCATGAAAGCCAATTTGGATTGTACATGTTTTCACCTTTATGTTACAGTACAGGAGGATGAACCCTTTCACTGGTGGGATTCCTGGCATCCTAGAGCAGGTGGAGAGAAGAGTTACTTTCCACTGTGGGTAGTGGAGGTTCAATCTATCACATTTGACTTCTACCTCAATTTGACTTTTACTAAGAGTAGGGAACCACAATGACATGAAAATAGAAAATATAAACCTCATTTTAATTCTTTCACAGAAAGCTTAGGAATTCAGTGAGTTGTGGGAACATGGTTTCCATTGTCTAACATTTTTAAATGAATTGATATGATTCAAATTCATTCCTATTTAAATCAGAATTTTTTGGAGATAGACTATTTCCAGCATGTTCCTTCTGGATGATAAAAAGAGGGCTGTTAGTTCAGTATTTGTGACAATAAATGTGTGTAAAATAATGTCATCTTTCCTAAATGTCAGAAATATTAGTCTAATGCACGAATGTATACCTCTAAGACAAGACAGCACAAATGTCTTTTTAAATATACCTGCCCGGCCATTTATTTTAATACCTCCTTTTCGAAAATACCTGCCTAGCAGATTAGCTTAAACTCTCAGGGCAGGGGAGTAAGCAAGACTGTGAGCCAGTGACGATAGCAAAGGCATCCAGGTAGGATCAGTATGAAGTGAGAAAATATTCCTCAGCTCTCAGGGTAGAACTGCAAAGAGGTAGTCATGGGTCCTGGCCCCACAGTGGACGTCACTCAAAGGGCAAACCGGTTGGCATCTCATCTGCTTCAAGCCTGGACACAGGGGCACCATCTGTGTCACTCTGTGTGTGGTCTGCCATGTTGTGGGGCTGTCACTACAGATTTGGGCAGCCGGGCAGACAATACCTTAGCCTTAGACGATGCTGGTGCAGCCCAGGAGTCAGATACTGCAGTGTAGACCATGCCCTCCTTAGGCCAACACAATTACATGCACTAGATGACTGGTTTTTCTGTTAGACTCTTCATTGGAACCAAAAGCAGCATTACTCTACCAAACAGAGGGGAGCTGAAAAGAAACAAGAGTTCGCCCAGCCCAGCGTCTGCCTTGACATGGTATCATGTGAGTCTATATACTCACCAAGATCTTTCCTTGGGCGCCAGTGCTGCTGACACATTAACTCAATAGCTTGTCCTCACCTGAGAGGTCAGGTAACATGTTTAAGGTTCAGGAGCAGAGATTAGTATCCTTGATTTGACATGGCTGTGACAACAAAGGAGGGAACTGAAGTGGGAGTACCCAAGGCCACCCTGGTTTTGGCAGGTGGTGCAAGCACTTCCACTAACTGTTCTAGGGCAGGGAACCAAATGTATGACTTGGCCTGCCCATGCCGCCTCTGCTGAGTCCTCCAAACCCTGCCCTTCATGAAATTTCTTAGTTTTCTTTTATCACATTTTATAAGTCACTGGATGGTTACAAAATGTTTGGAACCTCTACTGCCTTGAAGGCTAACCTCTATAGAGGAGTAAGCAAGGTCTTAATACAACTCTCTGGAACGTTTTATCATTACTTCTCTTACATGCCATACTGCATCTTTTGCTATCAACAGGAAAGTACCTGGACTTTAGAAGGTCCCTCCCTGTCTTTTAGCTGAAGATACATATGAGGCATGTGGATTCTTTTATGCACATCATCTTTTTCAACTACATTTGTGTAGTTTGCCTCTCTGGAGTCAACCTTGTGGGGCTAACAGCTTCACAGCTGAATCAGTGTCTGGCAGCCTCTTCCTTCAGCCTCTCTTCTTCCTCCAGTTTTCCATCCCTCAGTCACAGTAAAGGGGGAAGACCTGCAAGGATTCAGAACCATCAGTTGGAGGAGTTTGCATGACTCATGAAAGATGAGTTGCAGGCAGGCCTGCCATAGTGAACACCAGGCTTAATGAGTTTTTCCTCAGAGATACTTCATGTACAGAGGTAGTGAACTGACTGCTTTCGATTGACTACCTTGAAAAAGATGAGTGTGCCTGGCACTGTGCTTCTTACACGAGTATTACCTGAGAAGTATTAGTTGCTGGTTCTTCTGCACACCATCGTTCAAGGATGTATGGGTCAACCATCCTCCTCAATAGCTCAAATCAGAGACTGAGGTGTAGCTGAAAGCTGCCCACATTTCTATAAGGCCAATAGATGCCATGAACACAGTTGTCAATCTGTAGAAATAAGGACTCCATGACTCCTCCAAGGCCTCTCTGTGAATGAAGGTTTAAGGGCTAGATCCTAAAACAGGGTCAGAGAGATGAGAGGGAAGAAAAAGCATAAAAGTTTCTGAGCAAATTGTAAGGGCAGTGTCAGCATAGGCTCTCGGTGACCTTCTGTGATTGAGTGGATACAGCGATGCAAAATCTCATCATCAATGCAGAAGACAAAAAAAGTCTCACCCTTTCTACCTAGGATGAGAATCCCCAAATCAGGGAAGAGTCCACTTACTAAATAGATATAAGAGAATGAAGTGTCCTGGAACAATTCCTGCCTGAACCTCTCAGGAGCATTTGAGGACATTTCTCAAGTATTCACTCTAGGACTGGGACTATGCAGACTTCAGCTGCTTTCAGCTATGGGACTTTTAGGGGTCTCAGAGTAGAGTCAGGAAAGGACCTGATGAGTGAATGCAATTACTGCCATTGGAGTTGCTGTTATTATTTATCGTGTACATATTACCTCCCTCTCGTAACCATTCCAGCTCCTGAGTCAGTAACTCAGCAGCCCTCCGATCTATAAAGTCGCAAACCTTGTGACCTGATGTCTGTTTCACTTCATAGATACGGGACCCGTTCATATGGACTTTTTAAGAGACAGGGAATTCCAGGGCCCACACCTCTGCCTTTTTTGGGAAATATTTTGTCCTATCGTCAGGTGAGTTGTTTGAACTTCCTCTTTTGCTTCTCATGGTTGCAAACATCAGCTTAGTTCCATCAGTAAAAATGCTCCTCCTTGGGAGGGAGTTCTGAAGTTTCACATTTTCAGAAATGGTGGGACTGGGCGCAGTGGATCATGCCTGTAATCTCAGCCTTTGTGAGTCCAAGGTTGGCAACTTGCTTGAGCCCAGGAGTTTGAGACCAGCCTGGGCAACACAGTGAGACCTCCGTCTCTAGAAAGAAAAAATTACCGGTGCATGATATGGTAGCGCATGCCTGTAGTCCCAGCTGCTCTGAATGCTGAGGTGGGAGGATTGCATGAACCCAGGAAGTCAAGGCTGTATTGAGTTGTGATTGCACCACTGCACTCCAGCTTGGTCAACAGAGCAAGACGAAGGAAGGAAGGAGGGAAGGAAGGAAGGAGGGAGGGAGAGAGGGAGGGAAGAATGGAGGGAGGGAGGGAGGGAGGGAGAAGGAGGGAGGGAGAGAAGAATGGAGGGAGGGAGGGAGGGAAGGAAAAAAGAAAAGAAAAAAAGGAAAGAAAAGAAAAGAAAAGAAAAGATGTGTAGGCTCACAGCCAGGTTTACCCCAGGGCTTTCTTGCTAACTCTCAGGAGCTTCAGGTTTGCCTCAGTTGAATAGCCCAGATGTCAGGGAGTTCAGCACTTGATGTTCAGGACTTGATGTGCAGACTTTGTGGCACCATAAAGAGAATTTTCTTTTTGCTCCTTGCAGGTTCCCAGGAAGGTATAGTCATACTTAGTTAGTATTAAGAGAAAAGCAGGAAGGGGGGCCCTGGTAGTGGCTCATTAGTTGTGTGTACCAGATTCAAACTTGGCTCTTTGTAGCAAGAGCTCATGAGCAGTCTTTTTTCTCCCTTCCTCCTGAACAACTTTGAAACTTTAGTTTATTAGGCAACCTAAATATTCACCATCAGGTAATTTGCACCTATTTGAATTCTCTCAAGAACTGTTAAACTCTCTGAGCATATTTCCATGGCTCTTTCCCAGCTGTTATAACATCTTTTGCAGATTTGAGAGAAAGAACAAGAGGGTCCTGCTTTACTTCTTTTCCTTCAAAGGCTGCACCCTATGGGTGAGTCTGAGCAGGGAGTGGATGTAACTGAGATGAGATGGTGGTTGTCCATCAACCTCGGATATTTAAGTAGAAAATGAATTTGGTGTTTTTTGTTGTTGTTTGTTTTTTACACAAAGGTGCGAACACTTATGCAAAATCATTAGAAAGGAAATAGCTGACAAAATTATTAAGTATTTAATTTTACTGAACAGAATGTCATACATGCCACATGGACTGTAAACTGTGGCCGAGCCTTTGTGGCTACCCTGGTCTGATGCTTTGCCCAACGTCTGGTCCCTGGAGGGAAAGTCACGAGCTCATGCCCAGAAGGCCAGCACCAGCAAGCTGCTCTCCAGCCCAGATTTCCTATCCTGTATACCTGAAGCTTGTTTCTCAGATTCTAACACTCACAACTGAGGCCTCTGTTGTCTGATTACTGTCTGAGAATTCTATACCATTTTACTCTCAATAAAAGCAGTAATTTCTTCTTCATCTTTCCCAGATCAACTCTTATAGTAGATAGACATTTCTGGGACCTTCTTTTGCACAGTTAAAACATCATAGCTGGATCTTAGCAACAGGAAGGTTTGTTTTTACGTTTCAGAAGTGAAAGCTCAGAGCACGCACTGTAATTGGGTGTGATCTGTAGAGGTGGCACTTCTCCATCTTTTCTGTGTTAAGCTAGAAAACCGGAAAGGAAGTCTACTTTCTCATTCACTCACTCACTCACTCATTTTCTCACTCAACAACATGCCTTAGACTTATCTAAATCTGCAAGACTAAAAGAGGCCCCTGGTTTCTTTAACTTTCTAATTCTGCTAGAATTCTGGAGAGAGCACATGAATTAAATGAAAAGGATACTGATGGAGGAGATAAAAAAATTATGCATTCCCTGCACACACTCACTTTTCCTCAGCCTCAGTTTCACCCCTGCCCTTGCAGGTGATCATTCAGGGAGTTAGGAGACTTTCGAGAGAATAAAAGAAAAAGCAAAAATACATCAGAAAGACAAGGAATTACTAGCCATAGATAAGGGTGAGTCCTTCAGTACTTGGAGAAAATTCAAGAGTGACTTTAAATTCCCCACTTCAAATATATCCTCTGTTTTCTTGCCTTTCCCTTAAGACATCTCTGAATAAGCTTCCTCCAATTGCCAGTGAAAGATAGCAGGCCTGAGGCCTGATTTCACTGGATGCAACTGTTTTCAGCCCCAGTTAGAGGTAGGGTTCATTCTATTTAAAATAATAATCAAATTGTATTTTGTTTCTTCTCCCAGGGTCTCTGGAAATTTGACACAGAATGTTATAAAAAGTATGGAAAAATGTGGAGGTGAGTACTCTGGAAACCTCCATTGGGTAGACCTGCTGCCGTGATGAGGTTACCCACTGCAAAGAGGATAGTCTCTGCCCAGGGCTTCACGGGATGAAGCTCTTGCCAACCCAAATAAGAGAGAGGTTCTCTGAAAGAAGAGGATAATTATTTGGCAGTAGAATATTGCAGTGGGAATCTCCTTGCCATTATAAATGATGTGCAAATTCAGGGAGGTAAACAAGACAAAGATGCTCCAAGGAAAATGTGAGGAGAATCTCATAACTGTTTTGAGGTAATTATTGTTAGCTACAAAGATCAATAACAAGGGTGACGCCACACCAAGGTTGGACAGGCAGTTGCTGGGCAGGTGTCCTTGCAGAAATATTTTTGTGTAAAGTTGAAATGGACTTTGTGCAAAGCTGTGGTTTTTGTAGAGATTTTTGTAATAGTTTCGTTTCCAGGAACACAAGCATGAGAATCCTCTCTTCATAGCCTTCTTGGGATTTATTTGTCAGGGTTAAAAAAACAATTAGTGACATCACTTTGGTTCTGATAATGTTCGCACTCACTATTGCAAAACTTTTCGAGGCTTGTCCTACCAAGGATCCCATGTGTCACCAGGTGTCGAGGTCTTCGATCTGAACTAGGCTGGGAGCATTGTTGTAACCACTTTTCTCCAGGCTTTGGGGGCCCAGGGACTCCCAGCATCGCCTTCTGTCCAGTGTCTGCCTATCCGCCTCTTCTTTTTTTCTTCCTTAGGTGCCCTTTTATCACATGTATTGTCTCTGACCCTTCTAATATGTGCTCATAAATGCATGGCATCATCTCCTTCCCATATCGATTCACTTTCATTTAAAGGCCAAAACTCTTTCATTTAGACTTTGAATCTAACATGCTTTTGAAAGAAGGGTTGAGAAACAGTAGAGAAACAGATTTGGAAACCATTTATGCTCCACTTGTTAAAACTTTCTCTGCAAGTATGGAACTTTTTGTTCGCTTTGTTGTTTAAATTTAAGCCAAGACTTTTTAATAGAAGGATATACAAGTATTTATTGCTTCATACCATTTCGCTTACTTTGAAGAAGAAATGCTGAATATTCTTAAACCATTGTGTTCCCTGGTGGGCTGATGGGCTGTGATTTTATAAGGTGGCCTCAGCCAACTGCAGCAGCTGTTCCCTGTCAGCGGGGCTAGAGTTTTGGTGAGAGCAGTGGAAGAGGTGCAGTGGTATGTTCGTTCACTAGATGCAAGCGGGAGAAGGCTTTGCTTCTTTGTACTTCTTCATCTTCTCTCATCAAGTCCTCAGAAACTGCAGCGCTGGCTGCAGGGTGCTGTGGAGCTGGCACAGCCCATACAGGCAACACGACTGAGTAGAAAGAACACACAGCTCTGGATGTCCGTGGTCCCCACACCAACTGCCCCTTGCAACATTTACTCTCTTGAGCATCTGATGATTTACCTGTCTTCAATTTTTCACTGACCTAATATTATTGATAATGAAGTATTTTAAACATATAAAACATTATGGAGAGTGGCATAGGAAATACCCATGTATGCACCATCCAGTTTAACAAATGCTGTACTGTCATTTCTAACCATGATGTCTTTAAAGAGCTCTTTGGTCTTGCAATGTCTCTTCCCTGTTTGGGCCACATTACCCTTCATCGTATGAAAACTTGGGTGGCTCCTGTGTCAGACTCTTGCTGCGTGTCACACCCTAATGAACTAGAACCTAAGGTTGTTGTGTGTTGTACAACTAGGGACATGAGTTACATGACATCAGGATCAAAGTCTGGCTTCCTGGGTGTGGCTCCAGCTGCAGAATCAGGCTAGTGAAGTTTAATCAGCTCTGTTGTTCCCACACAGAACGCAAGATGGTCAACTCCCTGTGCTGACCATCACAGATCCCGACATGATCAAAACAGTGCTAGTGAAAGAATGTTATTCTGTCTTCACAAATCGAAGGGTAAGCATCCATTTTTTGAAACTTAATGATTGATCCATTGATTAAATTTTTATTTTGAAAAAACTTATATATTCACAAAAAGTTACATAAAAAATGGACAGGAAGGTTCCATGTACTCTTCATCCTGTCCCCTACAATGGTAACATCTTGCAATCCTGCGTTAACTATAAATATAGTATATTCATATTAGGTTGGCGCAAAAGTTAAAATGGCAAACTGAAATAACCTTTGCACCCACCTAATACTATAGTACAGGAAATTGACTTTGATATAGTTTACAGAGCTTATTCAGATTTCACCAGTTTTACATGCCCTCGTTTGTGTGTGTTTATGTGTGTGTGTAGTTCTAAGCAAATTTTTCACATTCGTAAATTTGTGCAAAGACCGGCACCATCAAGATGCAGACCCATTCCATCACCATGTAGCTCCCTCCTGCTAGCCTATAGTCACAACACGGAGCTTGTCTTTTTCTCTGACAGGGTCTGTATCAGAGCAAACTTTTTATTTGAGGAGGCCAATGTATTAATATTTCCTTTTATGGATTGTTATTTTGGTGTCAAGTCTGAAAATCCTTTGCTTAGCCCTCCTTTTTACATTGCTTTTTCTAAGGGTTATATAGTTTAACACTTTACAAAATGTAACTCTATTACCCATTTTGTGTTAATATTTGCATAAGTTATCAGATTTAGATCAAGGTTCATTTTTTGCGGACTATGGCTGTCCAAATATTCCAACACCATCTTGGAAAGGTAGGCATATTGTCAAAAATCAGCTGAGCATACTTTGTGCATCTATTTCTTATTGTTTACTCTGTCCCATTGATGACTGTGTTTACTCCTCCACCAATACCACACTGTGGTGACTCTAGTAGCTGTACAGTAACTCTTAACATCATATAGAGCGATTCTTTCTACTTCATTGATTTATATTTTCAAAATAGTTTTAGCTTTTCTTATCCCTTGCCTTTCCATAAAAATTCAGAATAAGCTTATAAGTGTCTACAAACAAACCAGCCATAATTTTGATAAGAACTGAATGAAAGCAGAGGTATTTAATCTTTTGGCTTCCCTGGGCCACAGTGGAAGAATTGTCTTGGGCCACACATAAAATACACTAACACACACACACACACACACACACACACACAAAAGGTCCGTTTATAGTTTTCATTATATCTACCACCACAGATAAGCAAAAATGTCCTCACATAATAATCCTAATTATTCACTGCCCCATTCAGAGGGTCTTTCAAAATCATTGAACAGTCCCAAGTTTGCAATCACTGATATAGAAAATTTACACATCTAACTAAAAAAAAACTTCACTACTTTTTTTGATATTTTTTATTATAAAAGAAAAGAGGACAACATAAAACCAATGGAGTACTTGACATTGTTTTTGAGAAACTAATGCATCAGTATCTGGCTTGATGGAAGTAGTTGCAATTCCCAGTGAGTTCTCAAGGTGCTATCAGATATTTTGGTTCTAGTTTTACTCTTCATGTTCTTCATCCTTGAAAATAGTAGCTCACAAATGTAAGTGCTGCCAAAAAGCAATGACATGAATTGTGAAGTGAGGGATATTTGTCATTGGGAAGATAGTATCACAAAAGTCTAGTAAAAAGGGATGATCAAATTTTTCTTTAAGTTGAAAGTCACATTGCAGCTCTCGGCATTCCATTTGAAAATTGGCAGGTAACATATTTATGTCAACTGAAAATGGAGTCGTAAATATGCCAAAATACTGATTATTTTTTCAGAAATCCTGAAACACCTGTTTTCAAATTCCTGTATCAAATTGAAAAGCAAGGCTGCATATTTTTGACTGTTCACAGGACCATATTTAGCCAACACATCGAAATGCATTCAATTGTTTGCCTTAATTCGAGCTTGCCATAATTTCAGTTTCATTTGGAATGCTGTTATGGTTTGAAACATTGTATTATTAAGTTGGTTTTCACCTTGAAGACACAGGTTTAACTCACTTAAATGGGCTGTCAAATCCACTAAAAATACTAAGTCTGTAAGCCAGTTTTCATTGGCAAGTTCTGGCACAAATTTTGTGTTTGATACCATAAACGGCTTGATTTCACATCACAAAGCATAAAATCTTTACATTTCGCCTTGACTTAACTGTCTTACTTCTAAAAAGGGAATGACGTTGCTAGAGTCAGCATCCATACTTTTAAGGAATTCCTGGAACTAGCGATGATTCAATCCCTGGGCCCTTGTAAAATTTACAGCCTTCATGACAATTGGCATGACGTTATCCATTTTTAAAGCTTGTGCACATGGATTTTCTTGATGTATTATGCAATAATACTTGATCAAACGTGAGTTTTGTGTGGCAATTGCATCATCTTCTATTAATTGTACAAGCCCCTCTCTTTTACCTACCATCACCAGGGCACCATCTGTAGCTGTATCAGATATGTTTACAATGGACAAAGAAAATCGCTTTAACGTATTTTTCATTGCTTTGTATAAATCTCTTGATTTAGCTGTGTCTTTTAATGGCACAGTGACATTTCCATTTCTTCAGTGACATTATATTCATCATCAATACCTCCAATAAAAATAGCAAGTTGTACCGTATCTGTAGTGTCAGTGCCTTCATCTATCACCAAAGCATACAATTTTAAATTAGCAGTTTTACTCTCCAAACATCTTTCAATAGATTTCCCAATTTCTTCGATTCTCCTGGCTATAGTCTGGTGAGACAAACTGATTTTAGAAATATCAGTTTCTAAAGGCAAATAATATCTACCACATCTTCCATACATTGCTTAATAAACTCACCATCAGTAAATGGTTTTGATTTTTTTGCTAATCAATTTGTTAACACATAACTAGCTTTTACCTTACGATAGAGTTCGTTTGAGTTGTAACTATTTTAAATATCTTTTTTGTTGAAAAGAGACTTTTTTTCAGTTCTGCTATTTTGTCCTTACAACACAAACACACCAAATTTGTCAGCAGGTTTTTGCATATAATGCCTCTTCAAACTGTAGTCTTTGAAAACTCACACAAATTCCATAGAAATTAAGCAGAGTGCTTCGCTATTTGCCTCAACACGAAAAATAGTCGTTTGTCCACTTTTCATTGAACAATCTTCCTTCATCCATAATTTTTCTTTTTTAGGGTTCTGTTTTCTTTTTAAGACATTGTGGAAGCCATTCTGGAATTAAAAGCATTATAATAGATAAGCAACTATATTTACTTTTATTATGAAAATTAACAGGAAAATAGAAAGCAAGGTTTAATAATCAAATAAGAATACTTACATGTCTTCTAAATAATATTAAACACCTATCATTTACAAAAGTAGGTTGAAATATTATTGATAATCGCTGTGTTTTACTTGCCAAGTCACCACAAACACACCTAATATCTGATGGTGTCAATTCAACTGTCCATGATTGGTAGATAACACACTGGAAGTCGCACACCACCATAAAACTGAAGCCACACATGCATACAAATGGCGAGAGTGTCTGCTGTACAGCAGCACTCTGCCTTGTCCAGAATACACATTTGAATTCTTTGTCACAATTCACTTCACGTAGCATTGCAACAGCGTCCTCTCGCTCTTTATTTTGTTAGTTAATTTTCAAGGTTTTTCATTTCTTCTAGCTGAACTGTTTGCAATTATAATGTAAATTATGGATACTAGTCCATTATTTGTGGATGTGACATACTCTGATTATACCTTTCCATTCCATTGTCATCTACAAAGTTCACCCTTGAGAATCGCATAGTCAAATTACAAAATTACCAAAAGAAATCGCAAAAAAACTCAAAATGTTTTAAGAAAGTTTCCAAATTTGTATTGGGCTACATTCAAAGCCATCCTGGACTGCATGAGGCCTGCAGGTCACAAGTTGGACAAGCTTGAATTAAACCAATAGAACAACCTGGGTATAATCTGTATCTTTATGATGTTCAGTCTCATTCCATGAATATAGTATGCCTCTCCATTTCTTTAGCTTTTGTTTCTTTCCTGAACATTTTGTAGTTTTCAGAATGGAGATCCTGTACATCTTTTGTTAGATTTACACCAGAAATATTTCATTTTTGTTGGAGTAACTGTAAATGACATTGTTCTTCTTGTATTTTCAGATATTGATTGTTGTTACATAGAAACATGAATAATTTTGTGTGTTGAGTTTGTATCCTATAGCCTTGCAGAACTTAACTTCATTCTAGAAGTCTTTTTGTATATTCCTTGACATTTTATACATTGACAATTATGTCACCTGAAAATAGAGACAATTCTATTATTTCCTTTCCAATCTGTATGCCTTTTATTTCTTTTTCTTGTCTAATGTATTAAGACATCCAGTATGCTCTTCAGTAAGAATGTTGAGAGTGGGCATTTTTGAATTCTTCTTGATCTTGGAAAAGCCATTCAGTCCCCTTCATCATTAAATGTGATTTAACTGATTTTTTTATAGATTGTCTTTATCAAGTGAAGGAACTGTCTCTCTCTTCCTAGTTTATTGAGATTTTATCATGACAGCTGGAAGTATACATTTTAAAACAAAACAGAGTTGTGGAAGATAAGAGAAAGTTCCAAGCATGCTGGCTTGATAGTCCAGCCCCAAGTTGGGAAAAATAATTATCCCTTTCTTTTTCCTTCTATTTATGGAATAAAAAATTAAGAGAAAAGAATTTTCATGGAATTGCATTATTCCTTCAAAAGAGGCTTCTAGTCTTAAGTATTATCTACTTTTCTAAAAAATCACCACATCATAGCATAACTTTTTCAAGTCGCCCATGCTGTAGGTGTATTAAAGACAGAGCTGGTTTGAGGCAACATACAGTCTGCCCATCTGTCACCAATCCTTTTCTACTCTGTACACTCAGAGGAAGGGCTAGGTCTTGTTCCTGTCTATTCCACTGGAAGAACAGTTCCCTACCACGTGGAGCATTTGCACTTAAAAGGAGACTGAGATAGAGAGGCAGGAGACCACACCAGACGGCTGGGTCTCCCCACTCCCACCCCTGCCCCACATACACTCAGAAGAGGCTAGATATCTAGGATCTCTATTGAGCATCTTGGATGTGGCCTGCCATAACGTCATATACAGTCAATAAATATTTGTTAAATAAGGGATGCCTCTTCAACATATTTTGTGCAACCATGAGGATCACCACAAGTAATGTGAGACTAATGTTTCTTCTTTGAACTCTAGCCTTTTGGTCCAGTGGGACTTATGAAAAGTGCCATCTCTATAGCTGAGGATGAAGAATGGAAGAGAATACGGTCATTGCTGTCTCCAACCTTCACCAGCGGAAAACTCAAGGAGGTATGAAAACAAGATGAGTTTTAATTAGAAATGTAAAGAATGAATCTGGGGACAGGTAGAAAGTAAGATCACAGTCCGTTTCCAAGGGGTAGTCCACTGAGTTCGAGCTTCCTAAAAATGGTCTTTTATCTTTATGTACAGAAAAGACATCACAAAATTCATTATAAAATGTCACTTACAGCTCCGTGCTGGAGAAAGCCATGTCCTTCTGGGACTTGAGTCTGCACATTTAACTACAGGTAGTGATCTGTTTTGTGCTTAGATGTTCCCCATCATTGCCCAGTATGGAGATGTGTTGGTGAGAAACTTGAGGCGGGAAGCAGAGAAAGGCAAGCCTGTCACCCTGAAAGAGTAAGTAGGAGCACAGCCATGGGGTTCTGAGCTGTCATGAGCCTTTCCAGCTGCCTGCCATGGAGTCAACAGTCCCACTGTTGGGTTACTGCAGTGACCAGACAAAAGCAGGGCAGTGCTGCAACTCCAGAGAGACACCTAACAGGGAGTGGCTCCCGTGAGAAGGCAAGTCAGCAGGGGAAAAGGGCCTTCTCTCCTGTGCACAGGAGCCAGGATTTACTTATCTGACAACTTGTCACCATAAATATTCTGGGAGATTAAATACATACTTTAGAAATAAAAAAACATGATCGTATCAAAGTGTTGAGTGTAGTGGATATAGAACTGTGGGTAACCAAGCATTTGGTACTTGTTGCCTTGCATTGGGTAAGATGGGAAAGTTACAATGGGGAACTTGGAACAATTTCAATCCCTTCATGGTTTTTCTGAGAATATCAGCAAACTACGAACTATTAAACCTTCCCACTACTTCCTTTTCCTCCAATCTCAAAACAGAAAGGGTGCTAGAAATGCTATATGTAAGGCAAGCCTATTATTTGCTGTCTACACCTGTATGTGCTTCAATTATGCAGGAACGACAAGTGTAATCTGAGCCTGTCCTGGTCAGACTTGGGACATGTGGTCACTCAGCTATAGGATTCTCCAAATCAATGTTGGAGAGATCTATTTTTTTTAACCAGAACATTCTTGATTGTCACATCTTACAAAAATGACTCTGCTCTCAGGGCAACTTCAGGTCAGAGGAGCTGGTGATAGTGGGGTTTTCCAGAGCTTTAGCAGGGATTGTAGAGAATAAAGGATGATATTTCTAGGAACTCAGAACAGGGTGTTGCTGTTTCATAAAGTGCTGAAGAGGAATCCACTCTGGGCATAGAGTCTGTAGTCTGACAACGCCACCTTTCTTGAATCCACGAGGAAGAGTTAATTATTCCACTATTGTTCTGCTGAAGCACAGTGCTTACACATCTTATATCATCCATACTCAATACATGCTACTGTAATTGTCTGATAATGGGTCTCTATCTTCCTACGACTGGGCTCCTTGACCTCAGAGGTGAGTCTAACTCAGCTTGGTGTCTCCATCACCCCCAGCATAGGGCCAGCTGCATCACTGGCACCGGATAACCACCTTCTGAGGGAGTTGATGGGAGATGACTCAGCAGATAGTTCTGAAAGTCTGTGGCTCTTTATCTGTCTTGACTGGACATGTGGGTTTCTTGCTGCAGGTATAGTGGAAGGACGGTAAGAGGTGCTGATTTTAATTTTCCATATCTTTCTCCACTCAGCATCTTTGGGGCCTACAGCATGGATGTGATCACTAGCACATCATTTGGAGTGAACATCGACTCTCTCAACAATCCAAAAGACCCCTTTGTGGAAAGCGTTAAGAAGTTCCTAAAATTTGATTTCTTAAATCCATTATTTCTCTTAGCAAGTATGTGTACTATTATTTCTTTCTCTCTCCCTTTCAAAATAACTGCTTTCTTGACATAGAATTCACGTATCATATAATTCATCCACTTAAAATGTACAATTCCATTGTTTATAAGATAATCAAAAATATGTATGACCATTACTGTTGTAAACTAAATGGTTTTGTCAATCTAGAGCCCTCATACATTTTAGCTATCAACCCCCAACCACAAACCCCATCACCCTAAGCAACCAATATAGATTTGTCTGCCTCTATAGATTTGTCTATTCTGGACACTTCATAGAAATAATATCATTGATTTTTCTGTTGTTTCTTATTCTCCATTTCATGAGTTTGTACTTTAGTCTTTGTTGTTTTCTTTCTTTTGCTGGTTTTAGGTTTCATTTGCTCTTCTTCTTTTAGTGTTTTGTGGTGTAAATGGTTATTATCAATTTGAGATATTTTCTTCTTTTAAATTTAGACATTACAGCTATAAATTTCCTTCTGAGCACTGGTGTTGGCTACATCCTGTGTTTTGCTATATCATGTCTTCTATTTGTTCATCTCAAAACAATTTCTTGTTGCCCTTTTGATTTCTGCTTTGACTCACTGGTCACTTAAAACTGTATTGTTTAACTTCCACAAATGTATGAGTTTCCCAAATTTCTTTCCCTATTGATTTCTAGTTTTATTCCAAGGAAGTTGATGTATATATGCTGTGTATCATTTCCTGAACAGCATGATTAAGTTAAGCAGCAGATTATGGTCTACATTAATGCAAAAACTCTAGTCCAATAGATCAAGGCTAAAAGGTCAGGGAATTTAATTCTATCCCTTTGGTCACTCCAAAGACACAGAAGGTGCCTTTGATCTCACTGCTGTAGTGGTCTTTCCTATGTATAGACCTGCCCTTGCTCAGTCACCGGCCTGAAAGAGGGGCAAACATGATAAAAGGAATGGGTTCCAGTTGAGAATCATGATGTTCTTATTCTTATTACTGGTAGAGAAAATTATAATTGCTCCAGGTAAAGTCTGCATTTTCACTATGATTTCCTTTTGTTTGTTTTGTTTTTCCCACAGTACTCTTTCCATTCCTTACCCCAGCTTTTGACGCATTAAATGTCTCTGTGTTTCCAAAAGATGCCATAAATTTTTTTAATAAATCTGTAAACAGCATGAAAAAAAGTCGCCTCAACAACAAACAAAAGGTAAAATCTGGTGGTGGTTAAATGACGATGTTTAGTTTTTGATCAACTTAGATTTTATACATATGATAGTGCATGTGTCTGTATTTTTAAACATAAAGACAGAGAACTTATGTTTAGAACAAGAGAAGTCATTTGGTAGAAATAAAGAAGGAGATTAGGGAAGGAGATGAGAATGAGTCAGAGAGACAGCATTTAAAACTTGCTATCAGGCACAACAATTAGTATGTCATGATATAAACAGTATTGAGATATAATTTTACCACTTCTCTTTCTTTCAATAAATTGTCAAAGGATAAAGTTTCCTGTTTGAAAATATATTTTACTGGTATTATGCTTTCCTCATATCACAGATTGGTAAAGAATCATTTTAAGTCCAAGACACTTATTTTACATATTCTGCAATGAAGGGTCCTATCAGGCTACCTGCCGACTGCTGACATGTAGTGTGTGGTAAATTTGAGTGCTTCACAGCCTGGAGTGAACAGGGGTCTTCTCCGAGAATTGAGGCTGCAAGGTTGGCTAACTCAGCTTTGCCTTCAAGAGCCCTAGAGGCCAGCCGAAGGATGTCTGCAGGTCAGGGAGGCAGGATCAGGTAACCCAGCTGTCACTGAATATTATATAAAGTTTGAGAATGTTGGAGTATTTGAAAATGCTCCCCCAAAAAAGCTGCTGATGAGTTCTGGAAATGTCAGGAGATAAATCTATATGGACACTGCTAAAGAAAAAGGTAGAAGAATAAAAGATTCAGGACTTCTTCCTGGGTAAGCAGTTACGACCAGAGATGGAACCTGGCAACTCTTCGGCCAGAAAGCTGTATCCAAAAGACCGAGAAGATGAGGAACAGGGAGGGCAAAGGCCAAAAACCAATTAGACATGATAGCTAGATTTGTTCAGGAAAACATCCTGCTTTCCAGGGATTTAGATGAATGTTTTTGTTCACTGGTGACGAGGCAACACCCGTCAGCCTTCTGGTCTTCAAGAAACCATAGGGAGGCTGAGGGAGGGAAGTCAAGAAGGGAGGCTGAGGACTGCACTTTTGATTTACTTCTGACTTCATGAGTAACTTTCTGCCAATGAAATCTCTCTTTTTGCTTCTAGCACCGAGTGGATTTCCTTCAGCTGATGATTGACTCTCAGAATTCAAAAGAAACTGAGTCCCACAAAGGTAACCAAAGAGTGCTTCTGAGGGCTACTGGCGGGGACACTAAGAGGGAGGCCCTTGTTCTGAAAATGTGCAGGAAGTATTCCAGGAAGATGAGAATTTCTGCCACATAGCAGAACAACACACATTTAGATGTTATAAATAGTAGCTGGAGGCACTTTCCAGAAGCCCACAGGTATATCCATGTTCCAAGCTTGAAGGGCAACCCCAAGAAAACCTAGAATGTTTGGAGAACAGTCAGTGGTTTGTGGATCACCTACATGAGCTCATATGCCAGTTCTCAGCCCCCTCCAGATCCAACAAATGAGAACCTCTAATTGGAAATTTATATCAAACATACCGATCAGGAGGCACACTGTCCCAGTAAGGGTGATTTTAACTGGCAGTACTTGATGAAAGTGTATTTGCCAGGTTAATCTACTGTAAAGTTTTGTTTTTCCCTTTGAAATGGATAAGTAACTAATGGGGGAAACCTCTGAGACCATGTAAATCTACTTCAATCTTCAATCTTTTATCTACTAGTTTTATGACCCATGGATGGTTTTGACTAAAACCATTATTACTAAGACAGTGGCAAAATGATAACCATGGTCAATTTCAACCTACCAAAATTTGGCAACCATCTCACAAAATTCTCCAATACTTAACAATTGGTTCTAGAGAGCAGGGCTGGGCAGACTCCAGTATACCACTTTAAACATGTCCATGTCTACATCTACTTCTGTCTGTCTATCTATCTGTCAATCATCGATCTGTCTATAATCTATCAATTAATCATCTATCTATCTCAATAAAGCTTGCTGTGATAAAGAAAATAGTCTATCATTTCACTGTTTCATACAGAAATCACTAGACACCTATAGCTATTGAGTACAGGACATGTGGCCAATGTCACTGAAGAACAATTTTTAAGAGTATTTAATTTTAACTGAATAAAATTTGAATTTAAATAGCCATGGATGGATAGTGGCTACCAGATTGGACAGCAGAGCTCCCAACTTTAAAATTACAGTTCGACTTCAACTCAGTATAATGGGGTTCTATGTAAGTGAATAAAATAATTGGATGGTTGAATTTATCCATAGCAGCATTCAGAAATATTCACTGGTAAATCAGAACTCTATAGACCTTTCTCACACTCATTTTATATTGTGTTCAGTTGTGAGTTACATGGTTGCAGCAGGCACCATATTTATTTCTGTGTTTCAGGTCTCTAAAGGTCCTAATCTAGTCCTGATCACACAGACCAGTGATGGATCATCGTGAGCTTCTCTCAGGAGAAATATCAAGAGAGAGGCCAACTTGTAATCATATGAACTTCTGCTATTTTATTAATGCCATTCATCAGACTACAGTCAATCACCAGGCTTCTGGCTTTTTGTCTGTCTCTGCTGTCTTGCACACCCTGAGATAGTCCATTCTGAGAACTGTACCCTAGATCTTGTATTGCCTGATGCCTGTCAAAGATGTAATCCATGCTGCTTAAGTGAGGTTGTATACACAAATCACCACATCTCCTGCAAGTTTGCATTTTGATTCAGTAGTTCGATGGTGGGGTTTGAGATTCTGCATTTCTAATACGCTCCCAGATGCGACTGGTGCTGCTGGTTCATGAAACACACTTGGAGTAGCAAGAGGTGATCTGTAGCTCAATATTGGTTCCTTAAGTTCCCTCAAACATATATAGAGAAAAGGTCCTAAATATTGCAAATTCTCTCAAGTTTGTCAAGCTATATTGGAATTCTCTCAAAGTTTGTCAAGCTCTATTGTAGAAAATCAAATTTTTCTTGGGGAAAAGGCTACCCCATATTTACTTACAGATAAAGTACTTTTAGGATCATCCAAGGCGCATACCCATAACACTGAGTATGTAAAACAGAAATGCTCTCTCTGGAAATTACAGCAGTGCTGGTGCTGGGATGCCATGAGGAGGAGTGGATGGCCCACAATCATGCAGACCTTGGGAAAACCTGGATTAAAATGATTTTGCCTCATTCTGGCCCTGTGTAAGATACACATCAGAATGAAAACCACCCCCAGTGTGACTCTGAATTGCTTTTCCATTTTTTCCTCTTGGGATTGGAGAGCTTCACTTAGATTTCATCTAAGCTGTGATGTTGTACGTTGAACTGATTTATCTAAAATGTCTTTCCTCTCCTTTCAGCTCTGTCTGATCAGGAGCTCGTGGCCCAATCAATTATCTTCATTTTTGCTGGCTATGAAACCACCAGCAGTGTTCTTTCCTTCATTATATATGAACTGGCCACTCACCCTGATGTCCAGCAGAAACTGCAGGAGGAGATTGATGCAGTTTTGCCCAATAAGGTGAGGGGATGACCCCTGGAGATGAAGGGCAAAGGTGAAGCCTGAGTAATAATGCCTCCTCACCACTCCCCAGGAGGATTTTTACGAAAAGCATAATCACTGATTCTTTCACTGACACTATGCAGAAAACCTCTGAGGAGAAAAACAACGGGAGAAACATAGGGAATGGTTGCTACTGGCAGAAGCATAAGATCTTTGTAAAATATTGCTGACCCCGGTTCATCTGCATTCTGTTACCATAATAATGCTAAGTAACAACAACCAAAAAAAATCCAAAAACCTCAGTGGCATCTAATGATAAGCATTTATTGCCCACAAGACTGGACAGTGAGCTCTGCTGATACTGGCTGGATTTGCTCTGGTGTGGCTGTGGTCTGAAGGAGCCTGGCCCTGGGGGCGTGGTGCAGGCTGACTCAGCTCTCACCACACCTCTCTCATCATGTTCCAGTCAGGTAGCCACTGGCAAAGAAGCCAAGCTAGGAACCAGGGTATCTGACTCCTGAACTAAACTCTTAACCTCTACAATACTGCCTCCCAAATATAACACCAAGTGCTAGGTACCTATCAGCCAGTTTTCAGACTTCTGCCCAAACTGGGATTCTTTTTGGTGTGAAGAGACCTGTCCTGTGGGGCTGACCCTGGTGTGGCAGTGAGGCAGACACAAAGAGATGTTTACATCCAGCCCTGAAGATTACAGTCCAGCCCTGAAGCAACAACTAGGGGACTGTTCCAAAAGGAGGGGATGGGGCTGAGTGTGGAGTTCTATTCTCTTCGTAACTTTAACAACTCAAATTGTATACCTTGGTAGCATCCAATCATACATGTATTGTGTCATATCTGTGATAGAAAGGAACAAGTTTATCCTCAATTTTATTTATATATTTATTTATTTATTTATTTATTTATTTATTTATTGAGACAGGGTCTCTGACTCTATGACCCAAGCTGGAGGGCAGTGGTGCAATCTCAGCTCACTGCAAAGTCTGCCTCCCAGGCTCAAGCCATCCTCCCACCTCTGCCTCCTGAGTAGCTGGAACTACAGGCGCACGCCGCCACACCCAGCTAGCTTTTGTATTTTTTGTAGAGATGGGTTCTCACCATGTTGCCCAAGCTGGTCTCAAATTCCTCAAAAGAATTACCAAGAAGGACTTTGCAACCAATAATCCTTGTGTGAAGAGGATATTTGCTCTTTTTCCTGTTTTTCTTTCTTGGTACAGGTGTATGACCTCTTTTTGAAAGGTGATAGTGACTTTTGTGTATTTTATTTGGTAGTAATGGTCATAGCCCATTAATCACATTTCTTCCCATGAGAAAGAAAAATCACTATATGGTCATGCTAAGGATTTCAGTCCCTGGGGTGAGGATGGTCCTGAATATCTCCTACATTCATAACCCATCCATACATCTCAGTAGGTCACTGAGCACATCAATGGACATGACAGTTATTAAAAGACTTCACGAATGCTATGATCATTTACCAGTATGAGTTATTCTCTGGAACTTCTAATACTTCAATAGTACTGCATGGACTCAGTTGAGAGTTAATTCAAAATCTCAGTTTATCCAAATCTGTTTCTTTCTTCCCAGGCACCTGCCACCTACGATGCCCTGGTACAGATGGAGTACCTTGACATGGTGGTGAACGAAACACTCAGATTATTCCCAATTGCTGTTAGACTTGAGAGGGCCTGCAAGAAAGATGTTGAAATCAATGGGGTGTTCATTCCCAAAGGGGCAATAGTGGTGATTCCAACCTATGTTCTTCACCATGACCCAAAGTACTGGACAGAGCCTGAGGAGTTCCGCCCTGAAAGGTACAAGGCTCCCAGGAAATGGAGCTCACCCTGAACCAGGCTGGTTGAAGCATATTCTGCCTCTCTTAATCTACATGACAATCGTGTGGTTGTACAATCTTTTGCTTGTAAGTCTTTTTATCACAAAAAAGTGATAATTATCAAAGTTCACAAACCACAGACTAGAAAAAATGAAACTACCGCCATCCACAGTCCCAGCACCTTAAGATGAAGATCATCAATTATGTCCCTGTGGGCATTTTTCTATGCCTATGTAGATTTTTAAAAACTAGAATGGTATCACTTTTTATTTGAATTCTTGCTTACTTAACAGGAAACTATCCACTGACCTACATTACTATAAATATATATGTATATATTGCATATGCCATAAACCATTTAACCATGATAATTATTTCAGGTGTATAGGCTTTTTATTCCTTTCTGTTTTTTCTATGCTGTGCCCTTTAGCTCTCTGAATTTAACAGCAACTTTAAAACATGCTTCCACATTCCATTTGCTTTCAACATTGCTTGCTGTTTCCTCTATGGTAATCATAACAGTGCAGGCTGAGGTCCTGAGAAGTCCTCAGCCCTAATGGTTAGGGCTGTCACTGAGGACACAAGACAGCACAGGTCCTCCTGGTCCTGTTTGTGGCTGCAGTCTTGTGCCAGCTCCCTTATACTCTCAGTAGACATTTATATAAATCTAAATCATATGATTTATGTAAATCTAAATCATATGATTTATATAAATCCATGAATCCATATGATTTATATAAATCCATGAATCCATATGATTTATATAAGTCCATAAATCCATGATATATATGTGTGTGTGTGTATATTAGAGAATGTTTGACATATACACAAGTATATTCTATAGACACCAGCCTATAGAATAGTTTTTGTGCATCTCCATGTATCTATCACTGGTTCCAACAGCCATCAATCCATGTTAGCTACCCCATCCAAACGCCACCACCACCCTCCTCCTGCCTATTATGTTATTTTGAAGCAATAGTCTATAAATATTTCAGAATGCTCTCCAAAATATAAGAACTCCAGTAAAAACATATGACAACAATGCCATTACTTTCCTCAGATCAACAATTTTTCCTTACTGTAATCAAATATTTAGAAACCAAATTTGAATAAAACATGGGTCAATCTTCAAAGAATTTACAGCCTAGTGGAACACATCAAGGAAAGCAGTGATGACACTACAGTAGGGTAGCATCATATGTCCATGTAAATTATTCGACTTAAACTATTCAATAAGGGTGTGGGGGAGAAAGAGAGGAAGAGATGGACAGAAGAACCAGGAAGAGAAGGAGGCGGAGAAGCAGGCAGAGGAGAAGGTGGATGGGGAAGGTGGAGAGGAGGAGGAGGGGAATTAGAAAAAAAGAGATGACAGGAGAAGGAAAGGGAAAAATAACAACTTGAAATAGTACAAGACACTTTCTCCTTCTCCTTTCTCATGAATGAGCATGTGATCAACATAAGTGTGGGTTGAGGCAGGAATCCACTTTCGCATCCATCAGTCTTATCACTTATGTATCTTTTATAGTGTGAACACATCACCACGCTGAATATAATTTTAGAGTTTAGAGATAAATTTTATTTGCAACAACATTCATCTCATCTCAAGAAAACTGAACGCTCCTATAGGGTATGGAGAATGGAAAGGACCTGTAGGTTACGATTATTATAACAAAATAACCAAAGTAGGATTTCAATGACCAGCCCATAAAAGTATCCTGTGTATTACTGGTTGGGAGGTGGAGGGGGGTGGTTCTTAAGTAAGAACCCCTAACATGTAACTCTGTGGTTTTTATATTTCATTAACTTTTTAATCTACCAATATGGAACTAGGTTCAGTAAGAAGAACAAGGACAGCATAGATCCTTACATATACACACCCTTTGGAACTGGACCCAGAAACTGCATTGGCATGAGGTTTGCTCTCATGAACATGAAACTTGCTATAATCAAAGTCCTTCAGAACTTCTCCTTCAAACCTTGTAAAGAAACACAGGTCAGTACACTTTCTGTATGTTGTATTAAGAATTTTTTTAACAGAAAGGTATATATTTTTTAAAAGAATATGCGTATCTTTTAATAATTCATTCTATGGACCAAAGAACGTCTTTGGATCCATCTTTGATCATTAAGGATGCTTCAGTTCTGGACTTCAAAACCTGTAGCATGAAGAACATCACGTAAAGTCCATGCAGATTAGCATGGCATGATTACGTGCAGTCTCTTTGAACCTGAGTAAGTTTAAATTCAGTTTCAAGCCAGTTGGAAAGAGGAAGTGTTCTGCATAGTCATGAAGTACAATGATTACCTGGCTGTGACTTAAATGATGCTCTCCATCACCAGCGCCTGTAGACGCCCTCTCATGACAGTGGTTCACAACCACTAGCTGTATATCGAAATCACCAGGGAGCTTTAAAAATTCACGACGCCTGCGATATCTCAGAAATTCTTAACTAATTTACCCAGAGTGTGACTTTAAAAGCTCCTGATCAGTTCTCACATGAAGCCAAGGTGGAGAATGACTAATTTCAGGCATTTCTGGTGGATATGAAGAACTACCATAGAGCAGGGCTATCCTTACTGTTTGACTTTACGTTCCAGGTGATACATTTATAGAAAGATTTAAAATCTTTTCTCTGAAGAAGTTAAAGAATAGATGTCATTGATTCATATTAAGCAATAGCCTATAAGTCTTATTTCCAGCACCGGTGCATTTAATATGCAACTCCACCCTTTAAGTACACTTTGTGCTTGGGAGAGGAGGAGGATGGAGATGGTTGCCATCTTATCAATGGCTTCGGGGCAGCTGTATAGCTTTCCTATGTATGTATTCAGGCAGGGGACTCAGCCCTGAGAGAAAGTGGGCCACTGGCACACCTGGGAGAGGGAAGATATTCCCTGGCAAGCTCTCAGACATCTCAGGCTGGCAACTCTCTGTATCCATGGCAACTTGCTTTCCCCTCACTGAACTGAGATCAGAATGTTACTCTGTTGGTGGCTCCCCCAACAGAGAAGGAGCGACTCAGTGACAACAGGGCTAGCAGTATGAGTCACTGTACAACTTGAGAACTTCCCTGTTTGCACTACACTTGGAAGCCAAGAGGAGATGTTAAAGAGAAAAGAATAATTCTTTCTGAAGACCTTTCCCATCATTGCACTTGATGGGTTCAATTGGGAGGGGTTACTAGACTCTGGAAGTTGAAAACTGCCCACATAATTAAACTGTACAACAGCTACTCAGGATTACCTTGCAAGTTTTAACCTACAAAAATTTAACTTTATAGGGCAATTCCAAAGTAGTTTGCCATTATACCTAATAATCTGAATTTAATTTTTAAAACTCATCCATTTTACTTAAGATTTAATTTAAAAAAAAAAAAAAAAAAAAAAAAAAAAAAAAAAAAAGACAAGTCCACAAGAATTTGTCGCAAGCCTGGCACAGAGTCGGTGCTCCATAAATATTTTGTTAAATGATACATGGTGAGGGCTTTTACTATCCAGTATTTACCCAGCTTATACATTAAGTATGAAGAATCCAAGATACATGGTGTTGAGAGTCGTTTTTATAAGCTTGCAAAGCATTTTTGTCATTCATGTATTTTTTCTACTTTGCTTCCATCTTTTCTTCTCTCACATCATTTATTAATTCTCCATATGCTTGTTTAACTATTGTAGATCCCCTTGAAATTAGGCAACCAGGGCCTTCTTCAATCAGAAAAACCCATTGTTCTAAAGGTTGAGTCAAGAGATGGAACCCTAAGTGGAGAATGAGTTATTTAAGGATTTCTACTTTGCTCTTCAAGAAAGCTGTGCCCCAGGACACCAGAGATCTCAATTTACTTTGTCAATAAAACCTTGAAATAAAGATGGGCTTAATCTAGTGTACTGCATGAGTAGTTCGTGGTTTTGTACATTCATTGAGCTCTCCTAGTGCCTGTGTAGAGTGTTGTGCATTACGTAATATAAAGGAGGTGACCAGATAAGTGACAGATAGGTAGACTCAGCTTCTCTGCTTCTCATAGGACTATCTCTACCCACCTCTAGTTAGCATTATCAACTCCTCCTGAGCTCTCATCAGAGAATAAATATTTATCAATGATTTGATCCATAATTTTTCAGAAAAATAAGAATTATCGTGATAACTTGAATAGTGACATCTATATGTTTTATTTGTAATATTCAAGTTTTATATTAAGCAAAGAGATAAAATCCCCTTTACAAAAATATTATCTGATGCTGTCCTGCACACTAAAGAGAAATCTATAGAACTGAATGACTGAGAATCAACAAATAAACTGTTTTTATCATTGTAGCCACTGTTGGTGTGGGGCCTTTGTCAGAACTCCAATTTGATTATTAAAATAGGTGAGAGTTAATCTACTGTGACTTTGACCATTGTTTGGAGAGAATATTCATAGTTTCATCCTGCCTTCTTTGAAGAACATATTTTTTGTAACACTCAATGAAGCACTTATCATATTATTAGTTTTGATTTATTGTTTTTACCTCATCTCCCCTGACATTTCTGGAATATAGGAAACATGTTTTCTTATAAACATCTTGTATTCCATCTTCACCTCCCAATTGTCTTAATGCAATGAACACTGAATAAAAAATGGTCAATTGGTCAGTTGATTAGGCAGCATGTCTAAAAGCACTCATTTATTTTCCTTTTTTATTCATTCCTTTCCCCTCTCTTTCTGAATCCTAAAGCCAATAGGTGGGGTGCAGCCATGTGGTAGACACACATTAAGGTGGAGGAGAGAGTCAAGGTGGCCCCAAGTCAGATTCCAAGGGTGCTGGGGAAGGCATCCACATGGAGGGGCAGCCTGACCTGGATGTGGGAGCCCAAGCAATCAGAGAAGGGGTCCACACAGAGATGTGACCTTCAAGAGCAGCCAGAGCAAAATAGGGCATGGAGAACCCACGTGAGGTGAGGAGGGCATCCATGAGTGGGAAGGGATGGGTGAGAGTTGGCTACATAAAGGGGATTGATCACATAAGTAAATAAAGTATACTAGAAGAAAGGTGTGTCACTTTTGCAGGAAAGAGCCATAGATTTAGAAAGGGAGAAAGCTAGCAAGAATCCTGTGGCGTCAGATTGGAATGGATGTATCAGTGTACATTCATTTTTTGCTAGATAGATGGATAGATAGACAGATGACAGATAAATAACAGATAGTTGATACATAGATGTAAATATATGTGCATATATTTGTAAGCATGCATGTGTGTGTGTATGTGTGTGTGTGTAAAACATATATTCCCTACTTCTCTCCACTGATAGGGATAGATAACAATGGCATTTTAATAGCAATGAGTACACTTAGTGCCTAGATCTTGGCTTATGAATATCATTTTCCACTGAAGGAAATCAGAGCTCCTTAGAGAAATGGCTGATGCCAGGGCTAGGAGTAAGAATGTTCAAGATGACCGCAGGATACTTTTTGTTCCAGGAAGTAAGAAAATACTCAAATGGTTTCTAAATGGTATTTGGAAATGATTTCTAAATGATACTTCCATAAGACTTCCAAATGACATTTTAAAAACCTAAAGACTCCACCAAAGAACTACTAGAACTGATAAACAAATTCAGTAAAGTTGCAGGATACAAAATCAATGTACAAAATTGGTAGCGTTTCTATATGCCAGCAGAGAACAATCTGAAATAAAATCAATAGCCACGAATAAAATTAAATACCTAGGAATTAACTTAATCAAAGAAGTGAAAGATCTCTACAATGAAAACTATAAAACACTGATGAGAGAAACTGAAGAAGACACAAAAACATAGAAATATATTCCATGTTTATATATTTGAAGACAATATTGTTAAAAATGTCCACAATACTCAAAGCAATATACGGATTCAATGCAATCCCTATCAAAATACCAATGACATTCTTCACAGAAATATTTTTTTAACCCTAAAATTTGTATAGATCCACAAAAGACCAAGAATAGCCAAAGCTATCGTCAGCAAAAATAACAAAACTGGAGGAATCACATTTACCTGACTTCAATAGAGAGCTATAGTAACCAAAACAGCATGGTACTGGTATAAAAACAGACACATAGACCAGTGGAACAGAACAGAGAGTCCAGAAACAAATCTACACATCTACAGTGAACTCATTTTTGGCAAAGGTGCCAAGAACACAGACTGGGGAAAAGAAATGCAAACTATGCATCCAACAAAGGTCTAATAGCCAACATCTATAAGGAACTTAAATTTATAAGAAAAATAAACATTAAAAAATGGGCAACGGACATGAACAGACATTTTTCTTTTATTTATTTATTTATTTATTTATTATTATTATACTTTAAGTTCTAGGGTACATGTGCATAACGTGCAGGTTTGTTACATATGTATACTTGTGCCACGTTGGTGTGCTGCA